AATTAATCAGTTCTCCTATTTTATTTAAATTCTTGCAATTAGTAAGTTGTTCTCTAATGAACTAATTCATCTTCTTGTATAATTTTGTAGAACTTCATATATAGTATTTTTTATTTTTTAACATGACAAAATAATGAAATATTAAAAAATAGTCCAAAAGTGATAACAAACCTCATGCAATTTAAATTAGCACAAATTATTATACTTCATCAAGGAGTGAACGTGATTCGATTTGGACGGTTTGTGCCATATTTTCAACTCAATCCATTTCACGTGGTTTGAAATTTTTTCGAAACAAACCAAACCAAACCAAACCATAATTTGCGGGTTGATTCGATTTTAATCCGCGATTTACCTATCGACATTATAATAATATATTTAAAATATGTTAGCATATAAGTTTAAACGAGAACTAATAATATTAAATGTTAAATTACGTTTATCTTTCCCATAAAACTCATGAATAAATTATTTTCAAAATTGGTTGCTAAAAATTGTTAATAAAATGAATATATTTTTCTTCCTTTTTATTTACTTTTTCTTGTTTGCCTTTCATATTGTCATATAACGGTGAGTAAAGACAAAATCACATTCTACTATAATAGTTTGGTTAAAACTTCTTTCGTTCTACTGTTGAGATGAAAAATAAGAACTGAACATGATATATTTAAATGTACAAAGAATGATAGAGTTTAGGTTTACTGGAAATTGACAAATTTTATTCTCTAACGACTTTACGAAAGTAGAATGTAGTAGTACTAATTAGGGAACTTTTACATTTTCACACAATCAATACGCTATATCTAAGGGTGGGCATGAGTTGTAGGGTTGGACATGGTTCGATTCGGTTCGGTTCTCTTCAGATCTGAACCAAACCAAAATTTTTCGGGTTTTTAATAAATGAAACCATCGGATCCAAATATAATTTTAGAACCGTTCGGATTCGGTTCTGTTAGGTTCGGTTCGGTTTCGTTCCGTTCCGTACTATAATTAAATTTTTTAACAGATTTTTAATGGTCAATGATCGATGGTTGAGGTTGGATGTTGCGGGTTCGATGGGCATTGGAGAGGGGAACTCGGACTCTGCAGTCGGGGATTTCAATTTGGGCATGTAGATGTATGTTTTCAATTTATGAAATGATTTGGGGTCATTGACTCAGTGGTTACCGAATGAAAGTGTGAAATTGGAAAGAAAATGATAAAAATTTAAAACAATCTAAATCTTGGGCTAAAAAAGAAATTAATAATAGGACCAAAAAATTAAATCAAAAAATTGAAATTAGAAATTGGGTTGGGTTGGGTTGGGTTGGGCTGAGCTGGGCTAGGCATGGACTTGGATTGGGAGTTAGAGCATTAATCACTAAGAGCCCGATTGGTAGAGATTAAAATCAGATTAAAATTAAAAAACTAGTCGTTACTGTTGACTTTTATTAGAGGAGTGAGGTCCAATAACGGCTATATTTTCAATTTTAATTAGATTTTAATCGGTACCAAACGGGCTCTAAATCAGTTAATTTGCTAATTTGTTTTAAAAAATTTAATTAATTCAATATAAAAAATTAAAATAATTATTTAAATTCGGTTCTTATTCGGTTATTCGATTCTGAATCTAGAATCGAGAACCGAACCGAACCAGTCGGTTCTCGATTCAGATACCCATTCGGATATTTAACTTATGAAGAATCGCTCGGTTCGGTTCACTTCGGTTCGGTTAAGTCTGATTCAGTTCGAGAGTTTTGTCCAACCCTAATGAGTTGGGTTGGGTCGATTTTTGCCTCGACCAAAACCCAACTCAACATAATCAGTTTGATCATAATTTAACATAACCCAACCCTTATAAAGGTTGAAACTCAACCCAATCAAGAATTTGTCGGGTTGGGTTGGTTTGGTCGGTTTGTGACAACCTGTCAACAAAGATTAAAGTAGGCGGATCGGGGTTGGGCAGATTTATGATTGATTCATAACTTATATAATATTAGGTCTCCATACTTGCAATGAACAAAAAATCTGAATTATAAATCAGTTAATTTGCTAATTTGTTTTAAAAAATTTAATTAATTCAATATAAAAAATTAAAATAATTATTTAAATTCGGTTCTTATTCGGTTATTCGATTCTGAATCTAGAATCGAGAACCGAACCGAACCAGTCGGTTCTCGATTCAGATACCCATTCGGATATTTAACTTATGAAGAATCGCTCGGTTCGGTTCACTTCGGTTCGGTTAAGTCTGATTCAGTTCGAGAGTTTTGTCCAACCCTAATGAGTTGGGTTGGGTCGATTTTTGCCTCGACCAAAACCCAACTCAACATAATCAGTTTGATCATAATTTAACATAACCCAACCCTTATAAAGGTTGAAACTCAACCCAATCAAGAATTTGTCGGGTTGGGTTGGTTTGGTCGGTTTGTGACAACCTGTCAACAAAGATTAAAGTAGGCGGATCGNCAACAAAGACTAAAGTAGGCAGGTCAGGTTGGACGGATTTATAATTGACTCATGACTTATATAATATTAGGTCTCCATAGTTGCAAAGACCAAAAAATATGAATTATTTTGACACTTTATGCCTGGAAATATTTCATGGACAGATTGATATTAAATTATATGAAGCCAAGAAATATTTTTAGCAATTAAAATGTTTTTGCGTTGAATGTGTATTTGTTTATATTATTTTTCGTAAAATACATTCCATCCAAATCTTATAATATTATTTTAAGAATTTTCAAGCAATATCATAACATTTGCAAAGTTCATAAATATAGTCGGGTTGGGTTGAATGGATTTATTCTATTTTCATGAGTTAACCCATAACTTGACCCAACTCAACACACCCACACAATCAACCCACCCGACCCGTGTAAAAAAACAAAAAAATCGACCAAAAACCGATTAGGTTGGTTCGGTTTGGACGATTTTGGTTGGTTCGGTCGGGTTTTGCCCACCCCTATTTATATCCTTCATTCTTTTCTAAACAACGAACAAGTTCATTAATCACATAAGCACACAAACAGTCTTTTTTTTTTAAAAAAACTCAAATCACAACTCACAGGTGTATAATAAGTTAAAAAACAACAAATAAAAGAAAGAATAATGTAAAAAATGACTTAAATGAGAATCTAAGATTTATCAATAGAGAATAGAGAAATAAGTCATTCGGGTAGAAATTAGCAGACCAACAAGCAAAATTTTACTAGCGATTTGTTATTGGGAATCGCATTTTGTTCAGCTGTGGAGGCAACCGTCAAATGTTTGAGAAATGAGAGTTTAGGTTAGGGCTTTTGAAGTTGTAAGCCACTAAACAACAACATTAAAAAAACATAATACTAAACCTAACAACTTTTATTTACAAGAAAAAAAGTATACTATACACTAATTAAAATCAAATGTAATCTATAGCCCAGTGCTACACACAACACCTGAATATTTTAGTAATCCCAATAATGATAAACTTCATTTATTTTATATGATTATTTTAATAGGTTGGTTATAATTTGTATTGTTAAATTGATATTCTGTTTCTAAAAAGTGAAAACTTTAAAATTTGTAAATTAATAAAATTAATTTTTTAATTAAAACAATTAAAAAACGATTCGGTTCTATTTTATGCAGTTTTTGAAAATTGAAATCTAAACCAAACCATTTTGAAACAGTTTGATTCGATTTCAGGGAAAAAAATCGCTGGTCCACGTGGACCCGAACCAACGACTTCGATTCGATTTGCAGTTTCTCGATTTTTTTGTGCAATCTCTTAATGAAAATCTAGCTCAACCAATCTCGATAAAAAAATAATAAAAAAATAAGCAACACAAGAATGAAAACTCGATTATTTTTGTACGAAAATTTTATGACTTTATTTGAAGTAATAATAGCTGCTTTTTAATCAATTGTCTCACCTCTCTCATAATTTAGGAAAAATTACTGTGGAATTCCTAATTTATATCCACCTACCAAAAATATTATTAAGGCTACACCACGTAATGATAAGGCGTAGGGAAAGGGAATCAAACTTTTCTATTTACATTTAATTTACATTATTTTAATAAAATAATTTTACACGTAAATTTATATTTTTTTTTACTTGTTAAGAATATATTATTCAAAAAATTCATTTTCACTACAAATAATCTTTTAGAAACAACGTAACAAACTTTAAAAAAAATAGAAAAATATATAATTAAGCCCCTATTTGACATCTTTAAGATTTTAAAAATATAGATTTGAATAATATTTTTTTGAAAAAAGTATGATTAAAAAATATGAAAAATATATGTAAAATATTTTAGAGCCTGTTTGGTACAGATTCTCATTTTCTACAGCAATTCTCATTTTTAACCACACATTCTTCAATAAAATAATATTTTTCATCACATCAATACTTTTTTCTTCTTTTTCAACCACATATTTTCCATCGTATCACTATTCAAAAATCAATTCTTCTCCTAAAAATCTCTACCAAACACACTCTCAATGTATGAATATGTGATTAAAAATAAAAAATAAATTAAATTGAAATAAAGATGTCGAACGGACTTACATTCGTTAAAGTTCCTTCTGTTTCCGGCCAACGCGCGAATTCACTGCGCGTGAACCTATACTCACCCTCTCATCACAATGAATCATCAAACAAGTCATTTTCATACAGTCAAACTCTCAGTGCATTTCTCTCCGTAATAACGCCACTTTCTTCTCAACGTTTTCCCACTGTTCTGCTACTCAGTCCGGATTTTCCCCTTTTTTCTCCAACTGTAACTAAAAACCACTCTAGTGCACGCTACATTTTACTCTCTATAGCAGCAAATGTGTATATATATCAACTCACCATTTTCTGAGATTTTTTGTTTGCAGTTTGTTTTATGATATTGATCGAATGCTACGATAGGAAACGACGACAAAATCCACATGCCCTTTATTTTTCTCACTCTAAAGTTTGCTAAAGCATAGAGATAGAGATTAAGAAACAAAATTAGCGTTAGAGTTGAGAGATTTCGGGTTCGAAGATGGAGAAAAAACAAGGGTTCTTTTCGGCTTTGAGGGAGGAAGTTGTACGGGGTTTATCTCCCGTTAGGTCACGTTCAAAGAGTCCCAGTCTACTTCGGAGGAAGAAGAATAGTTCTATTGATAATCCGGAGTCATCGGTTCTAAGATCTGGGAATCTGAAACCGTTGGGTGAGACTCTGGCACCATTGATTGAGGGTCCGGATCCAGACTGCGGGGAAATCGGAGATTCAAAACGGGTCGGTTATGTTGGACAGTGGGTCATCGGACAACTAACCCGGAACCCGTCAGTTTCCGCAGCGGCGTCCAATGGGAATGGGTACAGTAACAGGAACTCTGATCTAAGGTTATTGCTGGGGGTGATGGGTGCCCCCCTTGCGCCGGTGCATGTTAGCACCACTGACCATTGGCCTCATCACAGCATCAAAGACTCTCCTATTGTATGTTTCCCTGATTCTGTGCATACATTTATTTATGTATTGACTATAATTTTATATTTCGTTGATGATGTATGCTGGACATGCTTAATTGTTAAGTCATTCCAGAATTTCTTTTGGCAGAGTAAGATTTGTTTAGGTGTAATGGTTAGAATTGATTGAAATTCTTTTGTCTGCTTGTGTTCATTTTGATTTTAAATGCTTTATCTCTACCGAAATAGATTTGCTTTTCTGTTTCTTTAATACAGAATGATGTAAACCATTGACTTCTTCAAGTTTGTGTGTATAAAGTTCAGTTTTTTCCATGGTAGTGAAAAATGGTGGGAGGCAGAGGATTATAGGAGCGTTATGCAAGAAAGTTTAGTTGTAGTATTAGGTTCAAGATTTTTGTCACTTTCATGTACTTGTGAAAATAATTTGTTTTCGAAAATTTTCTCTTTCAGTATTGGACTCAGATTTACTCTGTACATTAAGTTTGTTTTTATCTGATTGATTTGTATTTTTTGTAGGAAACTTCATCTGCACAGTATATATTGCAACAGTATACTGCTGCGACTGGAGGGCAAAAAATGCTGAATTCTATTAAGAATGCTTATGCCATGGGCAAGTTGAAAATGGTAGCTTCAGAATTTGAAACAGCCACGAAGGTAGTGAAGAACAGGAATGCTGCTAAAGCTGCAGAATCCGGAGGATTTGTCCTCTGGCAGATGAATCCCGACATGTGGTATGCGGAGCTTGCAGTTGGGGGAAGCAAAGTTCATGCAGGCTGCAATGGCAAGCTCGTCTGGAGGCACACACCCTGGCTGGGGGCGCACACTGCGAAAGGCCCAGTTAGACCTTTGCGCCGTGCTCTTCAGGTGGAGATGTGACTACTTTGATTTTTAATATAATTATTCTTTGCCCAGTCTTTCGATCTCATATATATGTGGGTTTGTGTTTTGCAGGGTCTTGATCCAAGAACCATTGCAAGTATGTTTGCTGATGCCATTTGCATTGGCGAGAAGAAGATTAATGGGGAAGATTGCTTCATTTTGAAGCTGGCTGTGGACCCTCAGACTTTGAGGGCCAGGAGTGAAGGACTAGCAGAGATTATAAGGCATGCACTCTTTGGTTGTTTCAGCCAGAAGACTGGACTTCTTGTTCATATGGAGGATTCGCATCTTACTCGCATCCAATGTAATGGTGGTGACGCAGTTTACTGGGAGACTACTATCAGTTCTTTCCTAGATGATTATCGGCCTGTTGAAGGAATAATGATTGCTCACTCTGGGCGTTCTGTGGTGACTCTTTTTCGGTTTGGAGAGATGGCAATGAGCCATTCGAAAACCAGGATGGAAGAAACTTGGACAGTTGATGAGGTTGCGTTCAATGTTCCTGGTCTATCACTAGATTGTTTCATTCCACCGGCTGACTTAAGATCAGCTTCCGTAAGTGAAGCTTGCGATCTCCCTCAAGACGAAAGGAAAAAGTCAACAATTTCCCTTGCTGGTCATCGAGCAAAAGTTGCTGCTGCAGAGAAAATTCATGATAGTGGCATTGAAAGCATAGTCTGGAAAATGAAAATCTAACCAAGTAGGTTCAACTTATGGGGCATTGTTCATATGGTGTAGGCATATTCTATTTGACTAACAGAATAAGGGTTACAAATTCCTAGCTCAGTTATTGAAAATTTTGTTATAGTAGTTGGCATACATATAATAATTTAATCTGTATAGTAGATAATCGTTCACGTGTTTTTCTCGAGCCTTGATGAATATTTACACTTTTATTGTAGAATCCAACTAAAGGGTTGGATCTCATTGATAAGTAATAGTGTTTGCTAGATAATCTAATCTTTTCTCCATGTGCTTCTGCTAACTTTCCCTGCATATTAATGCCATAGGCCTCCTCTGGCAGTTAGAAGGCAAATTCTGCTATATCGGTTTGACATTAGTGTTTTAGAGGTCTTGTGAGCCTTTTCTTTCCATGATTATTTGTGTCACGTTGAAGTTTTCATTGTCATGGGAAGGAGAATGGGATTCTCAGGTGGGAAATCTCGATAAGTTATATATTGAATTACATCTCCACTTCTATAGCATTTTCACTATGTCTCAGTCGAGCATGTAAATGAGTTGGATTTATTCGTTCCTTAATTTTTTTTCTCTCTTATTAACGTTGAGATCGTTCTCTTCACCGACATGGTCATATTCTATACTTGTGCATCCAGGACCACCTAGGAAACTCCATTAACAATATGCATCTGCCTACTTTTCCCACTGTTCATTACGACTGTTAGAATAATCATTTGGAGAAGTCCTTTACTGATCATTGGACCTGGATTCAAATAATATGGTCCTTGTTTGTGTTTTTGTATGTGCATGGGCGCCAAAGGCAAATGGCAAAAACTGGATTTCCACATTTTTGCTCTACTGGTCATTTTCAACTTCCATTTTTGACTTAAAATTATATTGTAGCAAGTCTTCATATGATTAACAGTTTATTGTGGGGGTACTCTCATATTATGATTTGGGTCCCTGATGGTCAGAGTTCCCCGTTGATGAAGGAAGAAATTAATTACTAACCTTTTAGCAAGGCACGTTATTTAATTTGTTCATTATTAAATATGATTATTGGATTGATAGGTCCATTTGGCATAGCTTCATTTTTGCTTTAGTTTCGTGTAAAATTACTTAAATGAGGAAGTTATATTAGATTAATTTCCTTTAAAAACTCTTCTAACAATATAAAGTATTTCTAAAAAAACTAAGTTTAAAAGCAACTTTTTAATTTTAAAAGCAGATTTTGGCTCTTCAAAAGCCTTGCCAAACGAACACTTAGAGACACTATCAAGTTGAGAGAAAATGAGAACCAAACTTCAACAAGAGTGCCCAGCACCACATCTTCACAAATTAAAATGAGGATATTTTGAATAAATTGTTGAAGATAAATTATATTAAAAAACTTCTTTCTTTATCCAAAAGACATTGTTCAGTTTGACAACATATCATGAGTTTAAGTGCACATTATAATAGCTTCAAACCACTTTATTAGAGGTTTATTTAGACCTTGTTCACATACATATCGTCTAAAAAAAAATTCACTTTTGAACGTTGCCGAACATGCTATAAACCTTTTTAATGCTAATTTATGTAACCTTTTGGAGGCATATGTACCATACAAGTTGTGAATTATTGTTGTCTCTTAATCAGTATGTTTAGACATGGAATTAAAGTTTTTAACTCTTTGAGAATGACATTTCATTACTATTTGAATTAACACGCATCTCATTCTCTTGCTCGACACCGAGGTTTATAAGATATATGGTCTAACACCTTCTAAAAGAGGTAACTTGATTAATTATAAATGTATCATTTTCAAATTTGTTAAGTTTTTGGGCTGCCTCACAATTCATGGCCTAACCTGTTTGCATTTGGGCTTCTGCTGTTTTCGATTTCTTGGCCCAATCTTGTTTATAATATGGAAATCGTGTTTCCATATTACACACCTCTTCATTGTTTTTTGATCTGGTGATCTGGCCATACATTTGGCCAGCTCTCAGCAGTTGATCCAGTGGCTTTTGGTTTCCGTGTATTAACTCTCCTTTGCGTTTTCATGTGTGGGTTACTGTTTGTTGAGATGAACTTATGAGTTTTAGGGTTTCATCTCTTTTCTCTCTGCCGGTTTGTGTACTTAGTGATTGTCATTCAATCTCTGTAAATCTGAGTGATGTTTCCAGATATTATACTTAGTGTATAGTGGGTGAGATTGTGTATTGTATATGTGTGATTTGAGGCAAGAGAAAACAGTGAAAAAGATTTCTTCATACATTTGTAACAATTCTTGGTGATTCAAGTGAAACTAGAGCAATATCTAATTTGTAGATGCTCGACGGGTGATTAGGTCTTTTGATTGAACATTCGGACCCTTCGGGGTGAAAATTTCTTTGTGTTCTCTTTACATTCTGCAATTTACAACTAATTTTGTTTGTTTAAATTTACTCTGGGACCAACAAGAGGTATCGAAGCTTCTTTTCTCATAAGATCTGAATTACCGTTTGTTTTCTTGAAAAACCCTAATTTCAAAAACTGTTTAAAGTTGCAAATTTTAGATCTATAATAGTTCTTTGCGAAAAAAAGGAGAAAACTATGATTTTCTAAAAGGGAAATCGTGAATCTTTCTTTGATTCAATTTTTGAGTTAGACCGCTTAAAGCGTTGAGTACTTCTTGTGTAGATTTGTGTGATCCTGTTGAAAATTTTTCTTGTTCTTGGCTATCTTTACTGATATGTTGCTTCTATTGAGTGGTGACTCGTTTGACTTATACTGAGTGATGGCGAGTTAAATTGACTCATTCAGTTTCCTACTGAGTTCACCCTGAGTCTTTGTTTGTTTCCTACATTCATACTAAGGTTTTTGACCTGATTCTAGTATTCTCTTAACCCTCTCCTTAATTTTTGTAGTCATTGTCAATCTCTGAACTTGTTATTAAGGTAAGTGATCATTCTCTACTTTTCTTTGTCCAAGATCTTATTCGAGGATCTGGGAATCTAAGGGAGTAGGGGAATTAAAGGTTACCACTCCTTAAACATTTTTCAAGATTGACATTTTTACTTGATATAATTGCATTTGTTGATCAATTGTTCATTTGATATAATCTTGTAATATTTGAAGTTTATCATACATACATATTGTCAATACTTGTTATACTCCGTGTGATGTATAATTCTATTCTTGTGAGTTTATCTACTATCATGACTACTGCACATAAATTTGAAGTAGAAATTTGGAGAGGGACTGGAGATTTTAGTCTATGGCGCCAGAAAATGAGGACTCTATTATTACAACAGAGATGTGCCGCAACCATTGATAGGACATGGGGTACTGAATTTAGTGCCTATAGGAGACATGAGTTAGACGAGATTGCTTAGAGTTCTATATTTCTTCATCTATCTGATACTATTACTAGAAAAGTTGGGAAAACCACTAATACTCAGGGTCTTTGGACCAAGTTAGAATCTCTCTACCTTACTAAATCTATGCCCAACAAATGCTATCTCTTGAGATAATTCTATAATTTCAGATTTAATCTTTCTTCCAATTTAGAAGAAAATATTGATAAATTCACTAGATTTGTTCAAGAGCTTACTGACTATGATGAGAAACTATCTAAATATCAACAAGTTGTTGTTCTGTTGAATACACTAGGTGATAAATACAGAGAGCTTAGAAATGCCTTAAAATATGGGAGAACTAGTTTTACTATTGATATTGTTATTGTTATATCATCTTTAAAGAATAGAGAACTTGAATTAAAATCTGATTTCAAGGACTCTAAGTCTGGAGAAGTTTTGAATATTAGGGAAAAGCTGAATCGGAACAAAAGAGGAAATCAATGCAACTTCAATTCTCATAAACGGGATAAACCTCAATCCTAAGTTCAAAAATCAAAACAAGAATCAATCAAAATCTAAGCTGCAAGTTAGAAAATGTTATTATTGTGGTAAGACAGGGCACCTACTGTTTTAAAAAGATATCTGATATGAAAGAAAAATACACTTCTAATGGGTCTGCTGCTGTTGCTTGAAAAAATGAATATGATATTCAAGGGGTTGTCCTTGTTAACACCACTAATAGAGATCTAAAAGAGTGGGTCTTTGATTTTGATTGCACCTTCCATATGTGCCCTATAAAAGATTGGTTCACTGAACTTTTGATCTGAATGGAGGTCAAGTTCAGATGAGAAATGACATGAGTTGTCAGATAAAGGGGGTAGGAAAATTGAGTCTCCTAATAGAAAACAATCATATTCTTGAACTTGATAAAGTCAAATATGTACCTGAATTGAAAATGAATCTTATTTCCTTAGGAAAATAAGATGAGGTCTATGACAAAAGGATTAATAAGAGCTTCATAAAACTAAATCTTAATCATAAAGAAGTTATCTCTTTACCCAAGATAAATGATATCTATACTATGCAAGCTGAACCTTTTGTAGGTTACAGCTCTGCTGCTCTGAATTCTAACTCTGATAAGTCTTTAATCTGGCATAAAAGACTTGGCCACATGTCTGAAAAGGGACTAACTATTTTAAATAAATTTGGTTATCTTGGAAAAGACAATTTTGAAAAATTAGACTTCTATGGAGACTGTGTATTTGGAGAACGGAATAAACTACCTTTTAAATTTGAAGTACATAAATCCACTTCTATCTGGCAATATTTACATGCTGAGCTATGGGGTCTAGCAACTATAAATACCCTGAGTGGATTTAGATTCTACTTACTTATAGTAGATGATTTTTCAAGAAAATATGGAATTTTCTTTTGAAGCGTAAGTTTGATACTTTTCAAAATGTTAAACAATGAAAATTGATGATTGAAAATAAAACCAACAGGAAAATCAAAGCATTTAGGACTGACAATGACCTTGAATTCTGCAATCTGGAGTTTGATTCTTTTTGTAAAGAAAATTGAATTCTAAGGCATAGAACTGTGACAAACACCCCTCAACGAAACGGTGTTGCTAAAAGAATGAATAGAACCTTGTTAGAAAAGGTTAGGTGCATGATATATAGTTTTGAGCTTCCTAAA